CTTTCAATCATATGATTTGGTTTATGTGTTCAAGCATGCTTTGTGAGCAATTGCACTTTGTTCCTTGGGATGGGGATATATGATAGATGTATGTGAGAGTTTCTTTATGTGATTATTGTAGATAGTAATTAACCATTTTTGCTTCATGAACATTTCCCTTAGGTTGTGTGATTTGTTAAAATCCATTGTGAATTACGAGTCTCGGAAGATATCATAATAGAATCAACTAAGTTAATCACGTTAGCATGAAGGAATAGGGATATATCCTTTAGGATAATGCAAACATTGGGGAGAATGTTATGATTGGGTTAAAGATTAGAATTAGGGAAATAATCAACATCTTAACCTAATCTTCTTATTCCGCCAGAAGAGGAAAAAGAGAAAATTTGCTCCTGTTTGCCATCTGTTTATTTTGTGAAGTTTTCACATACACTTTCTTATTGAACATTTCAAAGAGAAAATCTTCTTTCATACTTCAACAACTTTTCATTTTCATTACTGATAACTTAGGATACTTGTGTAGGATTTTAATTAAACCAAAATTTCAGGCTTAGGCTGAAAATAGCAGGCTATAACTTTTCTTCATTAAGTTTTCCTCGTTCTCTGTGGGATTGACAACTAGACTCAAACCTAGTATTATTGATACGCCATGTATCTTGTGTGAGTAGTCCGTGCTTCGCAGCACTTGGTGCGTGTTTCTTAGCTTTCATTGGAAAGTTTATGGTTGTGTACTTGATGACATATTGGTATACAGTCGTTTAGAAGAGGAAAACTTGTAGCATGCATTTTAAGTTCTTCAAACATAACAATTGTACGACCAACTAGAAGATGTGTTTTTTTTACACCACAGAGATGCTTCCTAGGATACATTGTTTCAATTGCCTATATCGAGATTTGACAAAATGAAAGTCAATGTTATTGTGGACTGGCCCAAACTGCAGTCGTTTACTCAGGAACGTCAGTCTCATGGATTGACATCCTTTTAGAGGAAATTTATCAAAAAATTTATCTCAATTGCGACATCTTTGACGGAGGGGCTCAAGTTAGATTCACGTGGTGAGATGATGTACAAGCCATCTTTGAAGCTTTGAAGAAATAGGTTACTCGAACACCAATCCCAGCTTCTCTAAATTTTAATCAAGTGTTTAAGGCATAGTGTGATGCCTCTAATATTAGATTTAGAGCATTGTGGAGTAAAGGCGGGAACCATATTTTCATTTTTTATGAAAAGCTAAATTAGTCCATAAGAAAGTATTATACTAATGAAAAGTTGTATGCTATAGTGAGAACAACTTCAGTTATTATCTGTTGGCGGACACCTACATAGACCACGAGGCCTTAAGATACGTGAACAGTCGGATAAAGCTAATTCACGTTAGATTCATGTCGACCCTCTTTTCTTCCATTTTGGTGCCCAAGCACAGTGCCAGGAGTCGGAACAAAGCAGATGCATTGAGCTGTCATCACTTGCAGATCACTAACATGCAGCAAAGGTAATTGGATTTTAAATGTTAAAGGGTATGTATTTCACTGACAAGGATTTCCAAGAGATTTGGGATCGCTGCCAAGACAGACTATATGAACAATTTCACGGGTCATATGGCTACTTCTTCTACCAAAATAGATTGTACATTCCCAAGAGTTTACTCAGAGATATTATCTTACAAGAGTGTCACAATAAAGGCAAGACAGAACAGTTTGGCAGAGACCTATCTTTTTTCTTAGTGAAAGAAAATTTCTACTGGTCCAGATTAGTAGATGTGGAGAGACATGACATACAGTTTAGGATATACTATTTGGCTAAAACTGGATGATAGAATACAGGTCTATACACCCTCATTCCTATTTCATAGGCACCCTGATTGGATATAAAAATGGATTTTATGGTAAGCTTGCCCTGCACACAATTTTGCCAAAAATTATGAAAATTTCTATTTTGGAGGACTCTAGGGCACCAAATTCTGGTTCAATTCAACAACTCACCCTTCAGGCAGATAAATAGACAGAAGTGGTAATCCATGGCTTGAGTAATCTTCTCAAGTGTTTTGTGGGAGAAAAAAATTAAATAGCTGGAGCAAATTGAGTTTTCCTACAACCAATCTATCAATCAGTCCATAAGGGTGAAATTCTCTCACTCAATTGGAGCTAGTGTCGATAGTTCCAACTATTTAGCACTAATGCAAAAGTAAGAATTTGAAAGATTCACACCTTACATAAGCAAGTGAGGACACAAATTGCTACACAAAATGCTAAATATCAGAACAAGTTCAGAAAAGCTCAAGTTTTTAAAGAATACGACTTAGTATGGATCAAATTGAAGGAGAGTTTCTTACCCTAACCAATCTTGATTGTTCCACTTTCTTAAGGTATTACCTATGAATATTTATTCCTCCAATCTTTTAGAATTCCATACCTCCCTGCTAATCCTGCTTAATCTCATACTTTTTACCTTTCTAGTTTTCCCTATATTAGATTATTCCTTCTTAAAGAATCAAGTACCATAAATCTATCATAAATTGTAATACGTTAATACATGCATGCATATATATATATATATATATATCTCTTTAACACAAACACAGAGCATTTATGTTTCCACTGGAGATAATATATTAAAAAGAAAAGATACAAATAGGTTGTGTGAGTTGGCCCAAATAGGTACCCAACCCACGGAAAATATTTGTGTACGTCGGGAGGTTATTCAGAGAGTATAGGGGGGTTATATCCGCGTTATACCCCCCTGTAACTTCCATATAACCTACATATAACCTATCCCTATAACCTACATATAACCTACATGTAACCTACAAATAAGTTTCACGCTTCTGTAATTCCGGTAGGTACATGTAAGTTACAAGGAGGTTACAGGGGGTATAACGCGGATGTAACCCCCCTGTACCCTCTGAATAACTTCCGACGTGCGCAGCGTTACGTATGTCTTATGTATGCAAATCTTTTTCCCAACCCATACGGTACAAGACACACAAAAAAGTTAAAAATGGTACATAAAAACAAAAAAAGCCCAAAACCACTAGGAAGCAGAAAAAGTGAGGGATTATCCCAATTTAATCTTGTCTATGCCTCTAGTTTTCGGAAGGGATCTAGCTAACAAGTTGGTAAGGTGCGTACCATTACACGAAGTAACCAAATTATCATTCATAAGATTCCTGAGCTCAAGTAAATCTTCATTCTTTTTCTTCCTCATGGAAGTGTAAACCTATCATTCTTCATCCGAAGAATCATTCATCCGAAGAACATTCTTCATCCGAAGAATCAGACTGATGAGGTGGTAGAGCTGTAGTAGAAGGATTACCAACCGTTGTACCCACAAAGGTTCTAGTATATGTGAAGTATGAATTGCCTCTACACCGAATACTTCCTGAAGATGAGGAGCTGCGAGGTTCTCCTAATTATTGGTTTGAACACTATCCTTTATAGGTAATAATCCTTTCGTGTTGTTTTCAATAGAGTTTGAAGGTGTAGGCTGCCCAGCAGAGCCATCCAACATCACATCAATCGCAGTAACAACAGTGTCAGGGGCAACAGACACCTCCTATCTTGTGGTAGTGTCCTCTACTGGTGGAACTAATATGTCTAGAGCAGTGGGGTTAAACTCATCCTTATTCTCTTGAACCTTAGATTTCAAATTAGGGTAGAGCTTGTGGCATTTATTAAGGGTATGCCCAAACATCTTACAGTGAGTACAATAAGGAGGTCTGTGTTCCATAACGATTTGTTGCCAATATCCATTATGAGTTGTGCCCAATCAGACATCAGTAACATCAGGTAAAGTAATATCTCTTTCCACATGTATTCGGGCCACAAAAGGTCTAGTTAAATTGAAAGTGGGTAGATCTAGCTTCAAAGGGTCCCCAAGGATGACCCCAATAGAGTAGAGAACCTGATGAAGAAAAAAGTGCAGCTTGAGACCAGGTAGACAAAACCATACCAATACAGTGAGAGTTTCATGATTTGGGTCGAAATCAGGAGACCACTTGAGTAACTTCATTGACTTGTCTGTAATATTAAGAAATTTCTTGGAGAAAATCCGTGTTCCCTCTTCAGCCACGATTAGTTGAATCAACACAAGTCTCTCATCAATGGATCTCACTTTCCACTTGCCTACTAATTTAAGATCAGCAACGCTCTTTCTGATAACTTCCATAGGTGGGTGTTCCCATTGAAATTTTTCAATAAGAGCAAATTTGAATTTCTCTGTCATTGTTGAAATTTCTAAGCCGGAGAAAAAGGTTGTTGTTTTCCCAATTTTCCCGCTTCCCTTCTTAACAAAGGACAATCACTTGTACAATCACGACAATCCTTATAGCTTGAGGGGAAGATAACTGCAAACTCCACCTAAAGGTTACACACCACGTGCTCAAAGGAGAATTTGTTAGGCTCAACCAAAGAAGAAGGGAGCGCCATCAGAGCACTGTCGGCGTTGTTGTCGGGCAGGGAGAGGCGCAGCGTCGAAACAGGCCACCGAATCAAAAGCGAGCTGCAACAGAAACATAAGAGCGAAGTTGTCGGGTAGAGAGAGGCACAACGTCGAAACAGGGAGCGACGCAGACGCAACAGACGTCGACGCAGATGCGAGCTGCAACAGAGGCAGTCACAAACGAGTTGTTGACATCGAAGAGACGCAGTAACGTCGGGACAAACCGAGTCGACGAAACTGTGGAAGCGAAGGAGAGACATGATCAAATGAGAACCCTAACAGAGCTCTCGACCGCAGCCAACATCGTGGAGCCACGAAAGCTACCGGCGGTGATGTATGAATATATATATATATACATATATATATATATTTTCTTTCTTTCTTTTTTAAAAGAGAGAGACTCTTTCATTACGATTCAGACCACACTTCTAAATAAATACAACATAGGAAGAGAAGAAAGTAAAATAAAAAAGGAAGCATCCCTTACCACTGTGAAATATTAAAACCATATATTAATATAAAGATAAATTTATGAATTTGCAGTAGAGTTTTTGGCGTGAACCTGCACAATACGAAAAAGTGCAGGCATGGGCTGAAGATCATAATATGGCGGAACACATGTGAGCAATTCAATAACAGTGCAGCCAACACTCCATATATCTGATGCAGCACAGACCCCAGACATTTCAATCACCTGCACAATCCAAATTTGTGGTCCAATAGCAATGAAAAGTATGAACAATCAGCAAAGCTGTGATAAAGAAAGAAAAAAATAAAATAAAATAAAATATTACTGAAAAGCATAAAATGCTGAACATTTCATTACAGAATTTGAAACCCAGTAAACGTCACTGTGATAGCATTCTTTCACTAGACAGCTAAGGCCAAAGTAACCACGGCACTAGTTTACGGTTCTTATAAAGAAACAAAATACAAGAGAGTAGAGAAGTGCTTGTGAATGTACAAGGTAATTAGAAAAGGGCAAATAGGGTTAGGCCAAGTTATATAATTTTCTCACTAACTTAACAAGTATTTGTGCTGCTCTAAATGCATAGATCACATAACATGCCTATAAAATTATTTTAAGGGTAAATTATATTGACCATGTAATGATTAAATTTACAAATTTCAAATTGTCGCCACTAGAAAACTTGAGTTTAAGAAAACTCCATATAAAACCCTTAAAGTTAAAAACAGCTACTTCAGTAATTTGAAGCCTGCTTCGGAGAAAGATGCAAGAAAATTAGATGAAGCTTCAAAAAGATCAATTAGAGTATTAAAGAGAATTAATTAATATATTTCATTAATTATATAACCATATAATTAATGCAAATGCTTTGTTAATTACATAAGATATTTCTTTTAAGCTGGTTCATTTTGTATGCATTCGTGAAACAAGTAAAGTGGACATTTTAAGGAAGATTCTCTTCTTTTCAAAAGGAGGAAGTTACAAATAGCTACACTTTGAGAGTTGCATCTAATAAAATACTAACAGTAGAGAGTAAAAAACTCAAACCATAAATTACATTGACGCCTTCAAATTTACAAGCATATAATGATTAAATCCACAAATTTCAAATTGTCGCCACCAGATAACTCGATTTTAAGAGAACCCCACATAAAACCCTTAAATGCTAAAAACACTACTACAGTAATTTGAAGCCTGCTTGGGAGGAAGATGCAAGAAAATCTGATGAAGCTTCAAGAACATCAATTACAAGATAAAAGAAAATTAAGTAATATATTTCATTAATTATATAACCATAATTGATGCAAATGCTTTGTTAATTATATAAGATATTTCTTTTAAGCTAGTTCATTTTGCATATGCTTGAGGCAATCGTGAAACAGGTAAACTGGATGTTTTAAGGATCAAAAGGAGGAAGTTACAAATAACTAAACTTGGAGAGTTGCGTCTAATAAAATATTAGCAGTAGAGAGTAAGAAACTCATACCTTCAGCAAAAAAAGGGAGGAAAAAGGTAGGCAAATGATTATAACATGCAAGAAAAATTTCAAATTCCAATAGGAGTTACACAGAACCTTAATCATCAAGAAAATATACAATTTCTATTTTATTACATCTAGTGGATAAATGGAATAAAAAAAGATTATTTTCCTTGTCCATAAATTAGTTTTATACTCGCTCGTCAGCTTTATAATATAAGAACCAACCAAGGTGAACTTAACAAAACACAAAATATGTTTCTCTTAACATATCTCCCTTCCCATTCTAATCTCTTTAATCTCTCAACTCAAACCAAATACTCTCACCTAATCCATAAGAGGTTCTCAGCCCGTACTCATTTCATCTTGTCTAGTCCAGAACAAACAACCGCCTTTTCCATCACACAAAAGTTATCAATCAACCAATACCACCTCCCTTTTCTAACATCCCTAACTTCAATTATGGATGTGAACCTCAACCTAATGCAAGCTTAAGAAACCAGATCAACGTGTGATAAGTTCTCACCATCCAAATTCCAAAACGCCAACTCCTTTGCATCATTTTGTTATCAGAGGAAAAAAAGCAACGTTACCATATTGGAAGCTTAAAAAAAACGGACTTCAAAAGAAGCCTCACTGCCAAATTGCCTAAACAGATTGGATGAGGAAAGATGACTCCAACAATATTCAACAATTGAATTCAAAAGGTGGTAGATATAATCCCCACTCATCAGAAAAATTTAAACCCTATCTTTTAAATATTTAATTTGGTACTTTAGTGACATCTATAGAGGTCAGGGATGTGGCATGTTCATTGACAAACTTAAGATACAATTCACCTTGTCTAAGTAGTGATCACCATCTCAACTTCTAGCCGAAAAGAAAATAAAGGTGGGCCCACCCTTCTATTTCTTTGAGGACTGCATTTTACGTGAACTGTGTGATTCGCTCATTAAACCTGTGAATGTGATTTTGATATTAGGCTCATTAATATTATTTGCTTCATTGTTTCACTTTTGATTCATTAGTGGTTGCATGCTAACATTGCTAATGGAAGTGACTTGTTGACAATTGTTTAAATGCCTTGAAAAATGTTTCAAGCTGTCGCATTATTTGCATTATTCATGGCTAAAACCACCGCACTTCATTTGTGGCTATAATGAATCCAAAATCAGCTCACTTACCAATCATGAAATATATTTATGATTCCAATGATTGGAAACATAATGATATCTTCCATGCGTATGCAAGATATAATGAAAAAAAAATTAGGTTAGTTATGGATGAAAATAATAAATTAAATATCATATCCTCCCAAGCAATCCTAAGAGCTAACTTGAAACATAAACCCCATCCTAAAAGTTAGCTGGGGTAACACCATATCACCGCCTATAAGAACTGTGTTTAGTTCATATTAAACTCAATACATATGCAGTGTGATATCTTTCCAATGGAAATAATACATATCCTTCCAGGAAAGTCACGAATTTATGGAAAAAACATTTTCTATGATAGTCTTGATAATATTTATGCATTTAAAGATAAAACACAATTTACAAACTCTATTCTATCAATCTAACTATAAAAAATAGCTCATATCCCCTGATTCTTATTTTAATCAAAAATATATTTCCAACCAGAAAGAGAAAATAATCATCCAATTACTTCAATGAAAGTTTTAAATTAAATCAACAAAAATTGAATATTCTATAGAAGCTTTATTTCCTTAAAAGGAGGCACCATTGTTTGTTAAGTGTTGCATAAATATTTAGCTTCAAGTTTAGTTGACTGACTTAACTGCAATAACTAATGAACTATCTGCTGAATTATCATATTTACTTTAGACACTCATTCAAATATCTCTATATCACCACAATGTCAGATAGTTTTTTTTGGAAATATTAATAGATGATGATGATTGTAACGATTCATCTCTTAGTGCTCTCATTAAGGTTTGTTCCCGCGGCATAATTGAACGGTACCTGAATGTGGGGAGGGAGTTTTCCTGCTGTTTGAAGAAATTCCGTGATTGCCTTCATCTGTCCAAGCTCAATCAGCCTCCCAGGATTGAATGAATACCAATCTCGAATCACTATTATGCTAGGTTCCCCCCCTTGTGCTTCCTCCTTGCACACGAGACTACGCTCATTTCTTGGCTTCGACGCTCCAACACTATCGCCTCTGCATGAGAGTTGACACTCTTGTCTCTTTTGCCACTCAAGGTTTCAACGCACCCTCTCGCGATCTATTAGTCTGCTGAAATCGTCTCCCACATGGGTCTCGGCTCGCCTCCTGCTTCCCAAGTGCATAGTAGCCCTAGGTCACCCACAAGGCTTGCTTCCCAAATGTACTAGCGGCCTCCTGCAAAGGACATTGCACTGCAAGTCTGTCTTTGACAAGCACGAACTACACCAAAAGAAAGATACCTCCTTCACTCAATCGGTTCTTTGGCTCGTCTAGACAATCGCTCGTGTCCAAATCAGCACGAGTAAAAACCCTTCCCAGTACTCGCACTCTCAATCTCCCAATCCCTCTTTTAAACCTTTGATATTTCACCACTTTTAACTTTGATGGATTTGCTTATAACCTCATGTCAACTTCAAATTGTTTCATTACGAATGATGCTCGTTCCCCCGGCCGCCACCATAATCTCCCACTTACTAAATTTTAGAGGCATTACAATCCGAGCAAATAATATCATTTTAGGAGCAATATCAAAGGGAAAAGGTAAAACAAAATCAATATCCTCAATTCTAGAATCAATTCTAATTCAAGGAATGTTCTAATTCAGGTTTTGTCATGTAAATATCTAAGCCCAAATTTTCCTTTTTAGAAAAATGATCATGATCTTTGGTATCGTCAATGAGATTTGTTACGCCTTCATTAATAGACCTATAGAATCCTAAGGAAGAAGAGTAGAATTAGCTTCATTTATAGGAATGATAGCCCTCTTATCAGCACCTATCCTAAATTTTTTTTGTAGCTATTTAAAAATGATGTATTATATTTCAAACCAGTTATTATGTCAATCCTAACAGCTATCTTATGTACATCATTCTAGGATTTAAGAATGCATAGTCACTTCTCACCTATCCAATCAATACTTTTAGAAAAACCCATGATTCTTCATATATTCCACAAAGTTGAAATTGCTAATGTATACTAGGAAAATTTATTATACCAACCAGCAATACATCGACTTCATGCATAAAATTTTTAAAGTCATAATTTAAATCTCTTAAATATGACTCTAATGTCACAAACCAACTTGATAGCTTAGATTTAACTAAGGAACCACACTCGGACAAAATTAACATTCCATTTTCTTTCAACAATTTTTTTCAAAAACTTCCAATAAATAAAAAAGCCACTAATAATCCACAAATAAACATAATGAAATTTAATTCATGTAGTAGTAACAAAAATATCTACAAAAAAAAAAAAATCTAAATCCACACATCATTATATCACAATCCAAAAGAAAATAAGGTAAAAAGTGACTACAAACACATTATAACATGATAACTATCAGCTGCAGTCATCATCCTATAAACAAAGTCTCTCCTGCTTTACATATCAACCTACAACTTCTCTTTTTTTGAATTAATTACAACAGTAAGTGTGACTTAGTGAGCAATTATAATCTTAATATGCATTTAATTATTATGTCAATACTATGAATAAATAACCAAAAGAAATGAGTTCATTATTTTGTAAAACTGTAAATTTTTACTTTAAATTTTA